CTTGGGGGGAAGTGGAGGCTCTGCAGGAACTTGGGGGCTCCAGAGGGAAGCGGAGGCTCCCGAGGGATGTGGGGGGGCTCCGCAGAGACGTGGGGGCTCCAGAGGGAAGTGGAGATTCTGCAGGGATATGGAGGCTCCAGAGGAAAATGGAGGCTCTGGAGGGATGTGGAGGCTCCGCAGGGCTGTGGGGGGCTCCGGAGGGATGTGGGGGGCTCCGGAGGGATGTGGGAGGCTCCGGAGGGATGTGGGAGGCTCCGTGGGAGTCTCCGGGGGCCCGGGAGGCCGGCGGCTCCCGGGCAAGGGAGGCCGGCGCGAGCTCCGTGTCCCGCAGCGGAGGACGTGTGCGTGTTCAAGTGCGCCGTGTCGCGCGACACCGAGTGCAGCCGCGTGGGCAAGCAGAGCTTCATCGTCACGCTGGGCTGCAACAGCGTCCTCGTGCAGTTCGCCACGCCGGCCGGTACGTTCCCGGCCTTCCCGGCATTCCCGGCGCCCCGCCGGCGCCTCCGGAGCGCGCTGACGTCCCGCCGGGATCGCTCTCCCTTCCAGACTTCTGCTCCTTCTACAACATCCTCAAGAACTGCCGCGGGCACAACACGGAGCGCTCCGTGTTCAGCGAGCGCACGGAGGAGTCCTCGGCCGTGCAGTACTTCCAGGTGAGCATTCCCGGCGCGCGGAGGCCGCCCGGGAGCGCCGGGCCGCCGTCCGACGCTATTCCCGCTTCCCATTCCCGCAGTTCTACGGGTACCTGTCGCAGCAGCAGAACATGATGCAGGATTACGTGCGGACGGGCACCTACCAGCGCGCCATCCTGCAGAACCACAGCGACTTCAAGGACAAGGTGAGCCGCGTTCCCGCCCGGATCCGCGCACGGAACATCCCGGCTGCCCCCTTTCCACACTGGATTTCGGGCCACTCTTCTGCCGGGGTTTTTTCCACGGGAATTATAAGGAGGCTTCGTTAACGTTCTCCTGCCAAATCCGTGTTTTCCTGTCTGGAATCTCCTGTGGCTTTTCCCTGCCTCCTCCCTGGTCTTTTTTTATCCTGGATAACCGGGACATGCTGCACACGAGCCGCCTCCGAGCACGTGTCCCCTGGA